TCTGATCAAGTCAGTTCCATCAGCCTTCGTTCTCGAAACACCACCAAGAGTCAGAAACTACCCACTTTATGTACGGTTTCAGTTGGTTTCTTGAGTCAGTTAAGGTTTGCCTTGCATCCGGGTCATTTTTCCAACGTCTCATCATGATCTGATACCTGGTGTTTATAAAATAGAATGCAGTTTTTAAACATGAAAATACTCAAATGCTATCGGGAAATAAACAAGAAAGACATCGCTCACGTGCAGCTAACCTCAAAGTATTTCGTAAGGAGCTAGAGGTGGATGATGAATGATAGATGTCTGCCTGATATATTTGGCTTCAGCTTTTAAATAGTGAGGTCTCGAGGGAAAAAACGGGTGTACCAGCTTACAACTTATTATCGACATGTTGTGGTCTGGGCATTCTGTATCCTTGTTGAAGTAAGTTCGCAATTTTCCTGCCGTCCATTCGTGAAATCGAATGCGTAGCGATATTACAAAACGTAATCAATGCCCGTACTTACACATCAGTTTTGGTGGTATCTGTGCCATACAACAACGCCTCAAAAGCTGTTCGCGATCGCTTTACTAGAGGACGGCCTTAGAAAGTAAAAAGTCACCTAATTACAGAATATGCTATGAATAAGAAAAAGAAAAAATAATTGCGAAACCAAAAGTAGGCAGTCTGCAACTACATGTGGCTACTGACAAAGCACAATTTTTATGCATTGAACAAAAATACAAGGTCATTTAGTCTTATCAACTGAATTGATAACGTAAATTGACCACCATAAAAGAGTTTAAAAGCTGCCGTTTTGAGCGTTAGCCCTTCGTCAGAGCGATTGTAGGAATTGTGGGTTGTGTGTGGGTTTGTATGGAGCCGCGCTATTGGAAGGAATATGGTGACGAGAAACAAGAATGAATTAATTGAATGAAAAGCGCTCTTTAATACCATGACGATTAAGAGTGCCGATTTAAAAGATACATTTTTGTTCTTTAGTTTTGCAACTTTCCGAACTGCTTAGATGAAGGGAAAGGCCGCAAACTGCTATGTGCTGCTTAGAATGATATGAGAGATTAAAGTGTCTAGCGACTGGTTTGGTTGCGTCCTTGCCATTTCTTTCTACGTCGCGAAGTTGTTCTCGGAATCAGGGTAAACTAGTCGTCCTCCTATTTCACCAATGTACAACTTTTTGCAACAAGTACAAGCTATGCAGTAAATGACATTGGCGGAGGTGCACGTAAAATGATCAGTGATCTTAATGGACCTCTCAAGTCCAGATATTTTCTCTACGTTTTGAATGAAAGAACAAATATTGCATCGTGAGCGAGTGCATTTGATCATGAGAGATCCAGGTTAGTCAATTGTTTGAAATGAACTTCCGACAGTGGCCACATTAATATGAGTATCCTGTTCCACAAAAAAAAAACGAAGAAAGAATATATTGACTAATTGAAATTCCAACAATAATTAAATGGTAACAAAAAAAAATTATTTTAACAATAATGATGATGATAATAACAGTCCCAATATACCAGTAATTCAAAGAGGCTAGATCATTGTTCCATCATGATTTTCAATGTTTCTCTTTATTTTGCCTGTTGATTATTGCAATTTCATTTTGTGAGAGGTTTGCCTGATACAACAAGGCATTCTGCGTTCTAGGATATTCCGCCTTTTCGTTGTCCCGCCGTTCCTGTGTTCTCTCATTCTGTTGAATAACTCAAGGTATCGTATTTCGCAACTTGCAAGCAACTTGCAAGCATTCCTTCGCACTAAGTGCTGCAAAAGTTCCCCTTGGTCAGTGCAAGTCACGAAGTACCTCTTTACCTGGCCATTGATTGCAAAAGAATACCGTGTGTTTTTCAATGCGCGCGTTTATTCGTCTAATTATAGGATTAATATGCGAAGTACAGGATGGGCAGTGCAACACTGAGGAATAGCTGTAAAGTGCCTATCAGACGAACTTTTTTTGCGTAAATATTTAGCTTATTGTATGCACAAACCAGTTCCGACAGAAGAAAAATTAAAAAAAACTTAAAACTCGGTTTTTCGGGCCCTAGAGTGCTCTTATATTGTCTTAAAAGTGTCCCGTGAACTGGTAAGGAAGTAGCCGGTGACGACGTAAAAAACTATGCAAACTCTCAGTTGACACTTACAAATCTCTCACATCCCCTGTAATTTTGTATCAGTCAGCGTTGAAATACTCTTGATATCATGTCCGATAGCGATGTCTACCTGCCTTCAGTAAGCTCTACCGAGAACTGTGATACATCGCACTCAAGTAGTAAAGAAGAAATGGAAGTTCGGTTCAGCCCCTCGAAGGAGAACCGCGTGAATCAAACAAAGATGTCGTTGAAGAGTGACAAGGACGGTTTCTCCCCCGCGGTGTTCAGGTCAAAATTATGACCCCAAAAAAAACTCCCGTTACGGAATGTTTAGTTTTTTGCGCTTGTGTTTTATTTTCTACGGGGAAATCTATGTTAAGAATGGGTATAGCTGTGTTCGTTTCTGTTGCCATAACATTTCATTCCTTCGCACTAAGTGCTGCAAAGGTTCCCCTTGGTCAGTGCTCTAGAGTTTCGTTGCTGTAGAGTAATTCCCTCGGTAAACCAAAAGCTAACTTTTGATGAAAGAATCAGCTGTACTACGAGGCACGATGATTTTTCGCCCAAAAAGCATCCGGCAGTTTCCTCAGAGATTGCAAAGGCAGAGGCTATCGTCGCCCAGCCGGTCCAGCGGAAAAGAGAAGGAATTTAAAGTCATCTGATTCAAGTCAATCTAAATAGGGATTTTAACAGAGAAATACGCAGCGCTGCCATATCACCCGTTTCGCTCAATGGCAAATAACTTATATCAGCATTGTAAATGAATATTTCGTACGCATCGACTTTCACACAGCACTTGGATTCGCAACCATCTAATTCAATAAAATATGTTTCTTTATTTCTCTCTTTGCTGTGCTGTTATCACAATGACATTGCTACTGTTGCTACTTTTAGTCTCTTAAGGGCAGGGGGCAATTGATGGCTCGTGGGATGGATCTTCGGAAACCTAGGTTAGGAGAATACACGGCCCCTTCGAGCTAATGTTTATGCCAGTATCCCCCAGAGGTTTTGCACTTTTCACACAATAGGAAAAAGAGCTCAGGAAAAAGCTTGAACTTTATTATAAATAGTCATGTGGAAAAACAAGGAGTATGAGTACATCTTAAGCGCGTGAAATAAACGTGAAATAAACAACAATAAGGAAATCACCATTTACGCGATTATATAGAATTGCCTTCTGCTTGTAATAATCTTAATCATTCATTCTCTGGAAATTTGGCAACCGAGTTTTTCTTTAAAGGTACCATCCAAAACGACCAAGTTATTCGAATAATCTGATGCCATTACAAGCGTTTTTTATTTATTGTTTCAACAAAGACACACCTATAGGCTGAATTAAGCGATCAGTTGTTCTTATGATCTTACTTTCATAACACCTTTGAACATATTTTGAAGTCCTGAAAAATGTCATTACCGTCCGAAAATCACTCGGCATATTTGCATACGAAGTCAGCCCTATGGTTATTTTGTTTGCGTGACCATACACGAAATTAGCTGTAAGCATTTCTAGTATATAGCTGGAATTAAGTAAACTGAAACGTATTTATAGTGTCGATCAACAGTGAGGTTCTGAAAGGTTCTGTAATCATGCGGGTGATAACAAAATTGGACGACCGCACGGCAGGAGTCCGATTTTTTTATCACCACTCGTTACCAGTTAATCATAAAAATTACAATTTCCGAGAAAAGAGGAATAGCCAGGTTTTGAAAGAAAGGGAAAATTTGCATCAAGAGACTGACAAAAGAGGCGTAAATTGTTGAATGGTTGTGATTGGTCGATTTAAACTACAACTTTAAATGTGATAGGATAATTGAACTGCCCGATCGCAAACTGTCCAATTTCAGCTTGGCAAGTGAATTGGTGAATTAGTGGAAATGCAAATGTTAATAACGATGATAATAATGAAAATAATAATAGTCATGATGATAATGATGATAAGGACAATAAAGATAACCACCCATGCAAGGGGATGATCTTTCTCTATAATAGCCTCTGCCTGCCTTGCTGTCTTTTTTGAACCGATTCTAAAAACTTGGTCACTCAGACGCACATTTCTGATAAAATTAACGAATACTAATACATACTTAAGCATGTAATATAACTTTACATACCTAGTCAACAGTTTGAAAGGAACCTTGACAGAGCAAAACTACCTGTCATTTTTTAACAACATTTTCTCATTTTTTTTTTGTTTAATATGTTTTGTTTTGGCTATGCAAACGCCTGGTTTATACTAAAACCGATTCAAAGAAAACAAAATTATTAAAACTAACTAACACTACAGTGTGAGTACTTCACTAAAATTAGCTTGAAATCCATCGCCTTGTGATCTTATATCTTTTAAGAACTTTAGCCGATGAGAGGAGAATAATTCCCTTCCTCAATCCTGACAACTTGCCATCGCCTACTCCATCAAGTCCTCAACGTTTGCGTACAACTGCTTGTCGTAGATTTTCATATTGATCAGGCTCTGTGGACGAAAGAAAAGCATAAGAGGATTTCTCAAATGTCCATCAAGAATTATAATAATAATAATAATAATAATAATAACTTTATTTAAGTGTCAGTGTATTTTAGCACTGCTGTGCTAATTGGGGACACTGTAAATAAGGAAACAAATATCGTAAATGAACAGAAACTCGTTAAAAACCCCAACTGGTAGGAGGCAGACCAGTTTGATCAAATTGAAACGAAACAGGTGAGTTGTTTTCACGATGAATTCATCGTTAATACACAAAATTGTTTAACTTGTTATTTTCTAGAATGTGGATATGCTAATCGTATGCTAATATATTTCAAATATTAATATCTCCATAGAGTAAGGAATAAATTAGATTAAAGTCGTATAATCAAAGGAAAAATAACATTTTCAGGTCTCATTACGGTGTTAGCCTCAAAGAAACTTTACCGCTTACAATTTATCATCCACATGTTGTGGTTTAGGCATTCTGTATCCTTGCTGAAGTAAATTGGCAATTTTCCTGCCATCCATCCGCGGATACGGTGAACCACCTGATGTAAAGAAACTCTGGACACTATTGCATCACGAGCATAAATCTATAGCTATGCTTGGATTTTTATAAGGCAAAATGAGGAAATGATCAAAATTAATGTATGACATGGAACGCGTCCTCTTAGTCAGAGAGAACACTTTTTAAAGGGTATCCGGTCCTTCCGGTACCCAGTCGTTTCGTACCCAAGTTTGAGTCAGTTCGCACCCGAGTTTGAGTCGGCTCGTACCTAAGTTTGATTCAATTCGTACCTAAGCCATCGATCGATTCTTACCTGATTTATATTCTTCCTATTTATTCGAAACACTTCCTGCGCGAGCGCGTGAACAGATGTCAACTGTTGCGTAAAACAAGGTAGTAGAGTCAAGCGAGTATTGGAGGTACAGATAAAAATTATGTTGTGTATATTTGAAACATTATTGCTTAGCCAAGGTAAGTGTGACATTTTTATTGGAAAAGTCTATTGTTTATACTTGTGACTTTGTTTAACAATATCAGCTCGTGTAAGTGAGATATTATTTCTATCATTGTTATTATTATTCTAAAAGAAAATAAATATAAGCATTATGTTATAATGTATGCTAATTAGGGAGAAAAGTATAAATGTTTCTAGTAGAAATATTCTTCGCGCCTGTCTTATGACTCCCAGACCCCCCTTTTTCGGTTCCAGGCCTTATATTCGGCGGGTTAGTTTATCGACTGAATTAATAATGTAATTTGGACACACTCGGTGGTCGCGCTTCAAAAATGGACACTATGTTAACAAAACTTAGTCAATGCAGGTAATCTTGCTACTCACGATAAAAAACCCACCATACTTTAAACAATCTTAACATGGAAAAAATACCTTTTAATTTTGTGTGAGAAACGACCGAGCTGGGTCTGAAACGACTCAAATGACTGGGTACAAAACTAACCAGCTGGGCACGAAATCAACCGTGGATACGAAACGACTCGGTATTTCTTTCGTGAAAACCAATGCACACCAGCAGTGAGTCGTATAATTTAAAAATTGTGCATTATTTGAATTTCCCCTCATTTTCGTGGCATTGAATGATAAAAATACAAACGTAGAGATTTAATGATCCACAAAGAGATGAAATACCAAACTTTTAATGATCGCAATAATTACGCTGCCAAGCGTTTCTTTTGTGAGTAAACCCACAGAGAAAATCTCTGTTCCCAAGTTTAACCCTTACCTCGTAAGTGAAATGGAAGATCCCTTTCAATAATTAACCCCAGCCACCCTTTAATGTTATAAAACATCAACCCAGTTAAAACATATTGTGGTTGCAACTCTGTTGCTGCCCTGATGTAAATCGCTGAAAACTAATCAATTAATATTACCTATTGTAAAAATCACATAAAGGACAACTCCATAGCTCCATCTATGAGGCAATAAAACAACACGGAAAATTCAATAACTATCAGACATTTAAAACATTCTGTTCTCCAGTCCAAGTATTACAACTTAAAGCAACATAAATAATTTGATTATACTAAAGACTTGTGGAACACCATCGATAGATACTATGAAACTACTGCCACGAGTACATCTTTATGGTTAAGAACATAGAAAATGGCGAAAAATTCATTTCACAGGACTTACACATCACTTTTGGTGGTATATTTTCCATACAACAGCGCCTCATAAGCTGTCCACTTTACTGGAAGGCGACCCTTAAAATTTTGATCGGAAAAAAAAATTTCGGTTAAGAATTTGAGGCCGAGGAAGATTAACGACTATGTGACTCGGAGACACTCTTTTAAGATATTCAGGATCGCCATTGCATTAACCATGCCTTCTTTCTCAATGAGGAAAATATTCTTTTTGAGGGGAAATTTATTTCCAAGACACTACCCTTTTCTACTCTGTCCCCTGGATAACTTTAAAATTCATAAACGCTGAACATTGACTATAATTTATCTCACCCAAAACTTCTACCTCGAAGTAAGCTGGGAAAGCACTGTTATATACCCAACTGTTGAACTTACAGCAAACGATACTGTCTGCTAATCTCACTCAGCGTCTGCCAGAACTGACATCATTTCACCAAAGTGAGTCCATCGACTGCACGTCTGGGCACACTGGCTGCTAGCCTTGACAAATGACTGGCACTTTTTGCAGTATTTGCAACACGTTATCAGCTACATCATCACTTTAATTTATATAAATGTTTATTATAATTTTTATATAAAAGGTTGATAAGGTGAAGAGTAACGTTCTCCAAGAACTAGGCCTGTACTGTGAAGATGCAACTCATCTACGCTAAAAATGCAAGAATGGATGCAGTGGCCTTTGCGCCTGGTTGAATTTTGTGACGAAAATGTGATCGGTGAGGAATTCACAGAAAATGGACGCGTTTCTTTTCACAGGAAATGTGATCGGTCAATCGATTCGCAGATAATTTCAATAGCAAGCAAAGCAAGAGCTAAAGCGATCGGATAAATCGCGTGCGAAGTTTGGAGAGCACGAGAGAAGCGTAAGAGTTGCTCCAGGCGCAGCCGAGAGCAACTCTGACATACAGTCACAAATTGTGCACAAAGAAAAGAGTTTATTGCAACTGTGTCGGGTTTACAAGGTAATCGTGTTCTAACCAACAACTGTGGATAAAGGACAACGAAAAAACGACCAAGAAATATTTAGAGATAAAATCTTTATTTAAATAGTTATTAAATGTTTTGCTCAGAAGGGAAAAACGAATTGACGAACGAATTTCTTGCGTGTGCGAGAACGCGTTGTCGATTAAGCGTGCTTAAATTGTTGTTTACTAAAATTTACGACCAAAAGATTGCGTAGTTTTTTATTATGAAAGTTGTATGATTTTGAAACTGTCACAAAACCTTCTTTTGAACAACACTTTTGGACATTTCAAAATAATATTTACCGTTCTATAGAAGAGTCCCCAGCTTCGCAAAGCCTCAGTTGAAGTCGGAAAGTTCAGTTTTGTTTTCAGCCAGAATAACTCAGTGAAGCAACGCGTTCGGGAAAAAATGTTTGGTTAACTCCAGAGCTAATTTTGTCACTTGGAAGGGCTACAGGGTTGTTGTTTTTTCAAAACGGGTATTGCTTTGCATAACTACTTTTAATTTTGTTCTCCAAAAGGTCTATCTTAATCGGAATGGAATGGAATATCATTTTTAAAAAGTATGACACATCGCCGCTAAACTTGACGGGAACTCGCAGTAGAGGTGAAACTGTACACGTCATGTTATGAATGTACGGCCGTGCTTACTTACGCCAATTTTGGCTTAACTGCATAGAAAAGACTGTTTTTTGAAAATTGTTGTAAATTGCAGAATAGGTTTCGAAATTAAAACTGAAATAAAGTTTGCAAGGTAACTTTGACCCACATAACGCGCGACGTACTCCTTCGTCAAACGTATCATTATTTGTCAAAGGAACTTTTGAGAAAATGCATACACAATGTCAAGAAGTAAACTTTTTCTATAAAGTCCAGATATAACGCGCGTAGTCATTGGTTGAAAGAGCGTTCTCTAAAAGGGTACAATGTATAAAGCTGAACTAAAGCTGTCACGCCATCTGCCAGATTGTGCTATGTCCGATCTTTTCCGGGACTTTTCTTTAGCTTCTTTTGGTTAATTAAAAGTGAATTTTCGGAACAAGCGAGCCGGCAAGTGGCAACAGAAGAGCAGAAGAGCCGAACAAAGAATTGTGAACATAGCGACGTAATTTACGTTATTATAGCGTGAGCAGAGACGAAAGTCCTCAGAGAAAAAACGAAATGGATGGTCTCAGTTTTGCACCTTTTAAAGCTCAGTTACATTTGCAAACTTACTTATGGTAATAAAATCAAACACAGGTAACTGACACTCCTATATTATATACAGTTTCGAGTTCAAAAACAAAACAGAAACGGGAATGATGTAAAATATAGCAAAACTGGCATAACTGTTAAAATTCATACTACTAATGATAGTGTCAGAGCGACTGCAATCCTGCTGAGGTCCATCGCGGTTAGATCATAATGGCGGTCCCCAGTCATCGCAGTTACAGTTACATCGGGCGTTCTTCGAGTGAACAACTAAAAGCTTACTCTATGCTCTTTCCAATGCGTTGACTGGAAGGCCACATCAGTCAAGGCAGCCGAGTTTTACGATTCTGTCATTTCGAGCTCGAGCAATCTTCATGTTCCAGTAAATTCGGCTGTAGTTCATTCATGAAACACACGCCTCAAGCAGTTTGTTCTCTAATTGTCATGAGAAAAAACTTACGTATTTTTATGACCACAATTCGTTCGGATTTCATTGAATATTTCACTTTTCACTTTGTAAACTATTGCAGATTGTGATCTTTAATGGTTTTTGAACTTTGATGGTTTGTCATTTTTGACAGCTTTAGTCTTGTTCAACCAATCAGATTATTTGAACCACTCTAACGTGACTTATGAGAGTATAGATATGCCCACAAACTGTTGTTCGCTTTGGAAATAAAGCTTGTTTTGAAAATTGAAAGTAATGAGTGGGGAATTTAAAGGATTACTTATTATGAAACAAATAGAGAAGCCTTGACTGTGCTTGTTCTGTTGTAAAGCACTTAGAAAGCGTGTTTCTCCCTACACTTCTCTCGTGATCTAGCCGTCTCCTGCGTAGTTTACAACAGAGAAGAGCGCAGTCATCACGAATGCATGTCATATACTGAAGCAAAGCCTGTTTCTTTCTTATTACCTTTGTCTTTCTCTCATAGATATTTTCCTCTTGCACATTTCTAGCCATTCCGAAATCTGTTACTTTACATGTTTCATTTTCTCCGACCAACACGTTACGAGCTGCGAGGTCTCGGTGGATGATCTAATAGGAAGGAGAAAAAATAGGCCGTCTGAGATTACATGTGGCAACTGATAAAGCAAAATTTTTTATGGTATTGAACGCCAGTAGTGGTTGTATAATATGGTGTATGTATATATATAATATGAGTACCTTGTTCCACAAGAGAAATTAAAGATGGTTCAATAATATAGTGACTAATTGACATTTAATTAAACGGTAACAAATAATCCTATTAACAATAATAATGATGATAACAACGGTAATGTCAATTTAGCGGGACTAGCTTAAAAGCCTCTCGGTTCCTCCATCCTCTGAGCTCCAATAATTATCAGACACTGCTTCTTTTGATTTTGCCTGTTCTTTAAAAATTGTTTTCTTATTTCATCACAATTCTATTTTTGTGGGACTTTTGTTTCATACAACAAGGCATTCCGCACTTTAAGATATTCAGTCATTTCGTGTTTAAGGACATCACGCCATACCGCCGTTGCACCAATCTACCGTTCCATCATTCCGCTGAATAGATCAGCCTGTTAAACTAGAATAATCTAAACTAGAACTAAAATAGATCAGCCTGTTAAACTTCGATCACTGATTGCCTTCCAAATTTAGCAATTCTTTCGGGAATATTGGCTGATTCAGACAATATAATGTTCTTTCTACAAAGAGAAAGATTTTCGTCAAACTTCCCATGACAGGTAGATCACACATATTTACACTACAAGGACAAGTTTCATTTTTTTTGTAATTAAAATTACGCTTCGGAGAGACTGTGAAATTGTTTTGAGATGTTTAAAGTCTTTCGTAGTGTCAAGGCAAATCCTGAAAAATTTTAATTTCCGGATCTACTGGGCATAATTCGCTGATTCAAACGCGGCAGTGGTAGATGATATGGAGAAAGAATGTCAAACAACGAAGATAGTCAGAGGCAAACTATAAAGTGAAGTTCGGCATTCTTATTATTGAGAATGTTCTTTCAGATGCGGCAGTCGCCAACGTTTATATAAGATGTTTGAATTAAGTCAGTCAGCAATGAGCTTTGACTGTTCTTACGGCTCGTGTTTCATGTCTGTTGACTCATAAAGTGACATTTGATACAACGTTACTAGGTATTAGTTGTAAAAAGCTGGTGTTAAAGGTGAAAATTGATTCAATTAACTCAGGTAAATTCTAAAGTGGTTGCGTGAGATTTCTTCAACAGCTTCCGAAAAGTCTCGGAATTTCTTATTTACTTACGGACTTTCAAGGTCCGTGACATAGTGTGTTAGAGGCAATAGGCTAGAAATCCCAAAAGTAAATAACTCAACTGTGAAGTCAGTGCAAATATCAAACTACTCAGATACTCCGAAACAAAAAATAGGTAACATCGGGTCGAAATCCAGTGAGATTCGGCATTCTATTGTTACTTACCATCACTTACTCACTAATTCCGACGACATATGTGGCTTCGTCTCCAATATGAGACGGTAGCCACAATGAAATCAATGAAATCCGAAATTCCTTCAGTAAAAAGCAGACAAAATCACTAATTCTGATTATTTGCCCCAGCTCAGAAGGATAATGATATTTATCGTTGTTGTAAATATCATTATTGCCATCATCATAATTACTATTATCATTGTCATTGTAAAAATTATGATTATTATCACTATTTAAATATATGTGCCCTTCAGACACTCGAAGTGTCCCGTCTAATGGTAAGAAGATATAGAGACATCTTTCTACTATTCAATTACGTGTTATGTTAATGTTTGAGGTAGCAGAAGTATTTCTAGAAAAATAAAAAAAATTTAGAACTATTTCTATCTGATTTAATCTGACAGATAGTTCCAAATTCTTAAACTTACAGATTTCGACGACAAGTAGCTCATACCATCAGCGATTTGCCATGCAAACTTCATCAGCTGCTGTGATCTTAAGTTTGTTTGTGGTTTGATATCCGGGTCTTTATAGTAAGTGTCATTTAATCCACGGCTCTTTCTCAGGTAGCCAAGCAGGTCTCCAAAAGGTACATATTCTATCAACACCAGCAGTGGCTCTAAGAAAATAGGTCAGAAGTGATGAAGATTTTTTTACGTTAGTGAGTTTCTTTACATTTCATAGTAAATCTATGGTACCCAACTAGTCCCTGGTTTGTTAATGTCATAAAAAAGCTACTAAGCAAAGCTATTACAGACATGATTATAGATATATGAAAATCATGTATGTGTACTGCGGTGAAGAAACGAATATAAAAGATCCTCGCAGCTATGAACACTATTGAACTAGTAGTTGAAATAAGACCTGAAAAAAAAATCAGGCCCGTACGGATCTTGAACCCCTGACCTCTGCGATACCGGTGCAGCGCTCCGCGACCGGTGCAGCGCGTAACGAGAACAAACATCGACTGCGAATGAGATAACGCTAGTCTGTGAGTAGGCTCTCATTATTAGCATTTGGTCAGGTGAATTTCCTCGCCCACGGAAAGTATGAGGCCTTTAGTCACACGAGCCCGCCAGAAATCTGCAAAACACCCAGTCTCCTCGCCACCATGAAGCCTCCTACTAAAGTGTAATCGATCTCGCCACCAGGGCGTGTTACCTTGTCACCAAACACTCATCCGGTAGCCATTTGTTGTAATTGTTTTAAGTATAGCTATAATATGTTTGATTGAATAAATAGACGTTCGCCGGAGCTCTAACTTGTTGCTCGTTGTTTTTATGTGGTAAAAAGCAAACAGGATCTCCTTGTGAACTTTCAAACTTCAAAACACTCGTTTTGTCGACAAAAAATGCATGCGATCGATAACATTTCATCTTGATCCTATTTTTCGTTCGCATTCGATTAAAAATTAAAAGTCGCTTTTCCTTTGATGTACATTCTAAATATTTACAGGCTAGACTTCATCGTCTGATAGTTCGTTTAATACCTTGTTGTCATCTTTGATCAGATCAAATTGGTGCCTTTTAGATCGTTACACGCATTTGACTCACCTTCAGCCATCTTAAAAAAAAAAATTGAGGCTTAAGCACGCCTCTGCAGTATTGCGCGTGGCATTCTTACGGCGATGCCCACAATACTGAAGATCAAACTGAAGAGTCACCTGATGCTTTGAATTTATGTCAAATTAGCTAGCAACCTTGATGGCGAGTTTACTGGTGGCGACTTGGTGGCGGCGAGACTGCCTTAGTGGCTAGCTCGCCGGTGGCAAATATTCCTGGTGGCGAGATAACTGTCTAGCACTGATAATTAGCGCCGAATTGTCTCAAAAATTTCCGCGGGCAGAGAAACTCGCGTCCTTTCTTCGTCAAAGACAAAATCGAAATTACTCAGTTACAGCTAGCTGCCTCAAAAATATTCTTCCACGCTATGTGGCTGTGGAAAGTAAACCGACTAAAGAAACTCTATTTTATCTCCAATAGCCATAACCAAAAATCTTTGCCGTCTCCGTTCTTTTGGCTATCTTGGGGGCATAACGGCGTGGGTTTCCTTTTTTGGCTTTTGTCTATCTGGACTTTGCCGCGTCCGTGCGGAATAAATGATAAAATGCAGGTTCTTTACAAGGAAATGACACGTGATGGGGTGAAGTTCAAGGTAGCTAAGAGTGAATTTGATAGGTACAAAACGTGAAAGCACGGAAGAATTGTTTAGAAATCGTCTAAAAGTAGCATCCTAAGTTGCATGTGAATTTTTGGTAGGATTACGTCGTTAAATTGAGAATGTTTGCTGGAATATGACATTTCCTTTGGTCAAAACTGTTTCATTGTGACAAGTAAACACGTAACTTTAACGGAAAATTCTCGTTTGAACACAAGATGTAGTTTATGGAGAACTTCGAAAGTAAAGAAACACTGCAGTAGAAGTAGAGAGTGATGTTGCAATTGAGTCTACCGTCAAGTCAGTCAAAGTTCTCGAGGTGCTATTGCATTGTAAAACATGACACACATCGTAAGACAACTTATCATTTAACAACGTCACGGTAAATTGTCAGGTAAAAAGGTTAAAAGGGAGGGGGACATAAATCACTATGAAGAATCGGAATACATTTCTATCACTGAAGAGCGGTTGTAATATTACGAAGGAAAGTGAAGAATAGGATATCAATTTTGATGAATTACATTTAAAAAAAAGGACCATTAAGTAGCCTCATTAAAGTCTCCTTACAACCTCTTGATCTCCGTTTCCCAGTAGTTTTTAAAAGTGTTACATCATACACGAATAAAGCAAACAGTTGGATGAATCAGCTCACCAGATTCCGTAACACATCCCAAAAGTTTGATGACGTGAGGATGTGGTTTTAGCTGCTTCATTGTGTCAAGTTCCGCCATCAAATCTCTCTTGTCAGATTCTGTAGCGTTACCTAGATATTAAAACCAGCTTAGAATATGAAAGGATTTAATTTCGCCAGCGCCATTCATTAGTACGGGATCTTTTCGGTAAAATGTCACTTGATACAGGAATTTGAGGTAAAATTGACGGTACCTGTTGCGTGTACAACAGCACCTCACGCGTGTGTCAAGCGCAACTAATGAGTATTAATTGAATGAACTTCGTAAAGTAAAGGACGTGTAGTAGGAAAAGTACACGCTTGCAGTGGTTTACACGCGAATGCGTGTATTTTAACTCGCTTGCCATTCAATGCACACATTTGCGTGAACTCTCTCACAAGGATGCTATCGCTGCAGGGATTTATATTCCAAAGTTGAGCGTTCAAACATCATTCGCTTTAACAATCTACCTCTCACTTAATCTCACTTTTGTTCTAGTAATTCGCTCCTTTTATGTGATACAATTTCAACGCAGCATGTCAAAGAACTTAAACATGACTTTCACCTTCATTTCAACAAGAGCCCGCCATTAAAATCGAAATGCTCGAAGGAACGGGAAGTAGAGAAATCTACCTACTTGCGGGAGACATTCTGTGATCATTGAATTTGTTGTTTGCGAACACAGGCAAAATGGTGCCCCTGAATGAGAAATTTTGTTACATGCTAGGCAACGATTTCTAGGAACAGATTAACTTTCTTCATTCATCGAAGCACTTATGATTGTATTTCCATTTAATGTAGGAAGCGATGCTTCACAATTCTTTTTGTTTTGACCTCCAAAACTCCAATCAAAATTCGATCATTCAAATTTCGGGTTAGAGGAAAGAAAATATTTAAAGAACAGCGGAAGCGGTGCAGATTGATATTTAAGTATTGACACACACGCTTTCAATTTAGATGAGACCCAACAAAATGCAGTGATTCCAATTTTTTTGTCACACACTTTTGTCTCAGTAATCGCATTTAATGAGTTATAAATGACTAACTTTGTATAGGTTACGCAAGGTTAGCATTTCACGCTCACACACGTGCACTTTTTAGTACACGAAAAATTTCACAGAATATAAACAATTTTTAAGATATTTAAGATCATACTTTTCAGCATTTTAATAGCCACTGTAGTTGTACCAGGCCTTCCTCGGAATTTCTCAGCTGTTCCCTTAGCAACCTGACCAAAAGCACCTTTTCCAATGATTTTTTCTACTGTCACGTGATCCCTTGGAACCTCCCAAGAGCGTGTTAATGGATGGAGAGGCGCGTAATCAGCCACTTGATGAGTGCTTTCTTCTTTGGTATTGCGTTCAGTACTTATTTCTTTGAGATCCATGTATTCTGCGCGAGGCTGGATAAATTGTGTTGCATCTGAGCGTTCGGCCTTATGATCTTTCATTGGCATTTCGTTCTGAGATGAAGAAAAAGAAAGGAACAATTTTTTTTAATTCCTTACGTAAAAACTGCTACCTTTTCTGCCTTATAAGTCGGCGAAACTTCGCCTATATTTTAACGCTAAGGGTCTTTTTTTCTAAGGTTAAGTCACCTGTTCCTTATAAAAGAATCAATAAAAAAGGGAAAAATAAAAATCAACATATAATCAGAACTTTTCTTACATCATATACTTCTTTGCTGTCTTCATATGGTCTAAAATAAAACAAAATGTGAGGGTAGTCTTTTTAGTGTTTATAACTGTTTTGTACTTGTGTTTTGTATTTTTCACAAGTGAAAATTTGTACTTGTGACATATACAAAAGCTACAAATACATGATTAAAACGACAAATTGAAGATTCTGCCAACATTAAATGCTAATAAATTAAATTGTGTAAAACTCAAGGAAATTTTATTAATTGTCTAGCCAGTTGTTCATAATGCTACTGAAACTTATTTGTCGTGTCATTCATTTTTTTGCGAGTCGTAGAGCATTAGCAAGAACCTAAAAAAGGAAATCCAAATATCCTTTTTAGAATTGCAGTTATCATTGTGAGCTATAACAATTGCTTTATTCTAATTAAAGAGAGTAATCCCTCGTCTTACCGGATGGGGTCGCTTAACAAATCAATCCCAAAGGCAATGAGACTCACCTTTGCTTTGCCGCAGTTTCTATCAAAGGAAAAAATAAAAGATGAGGGCAAAGCTACGAAACAAAAAATGCATAGGAGAATTGGTTGGCACCTCAAGGAAAACCAAGAATCATTTACCTTTTTTGTGAATCCAAACCACATGGATAACGAGAATGATATTAAATAGAAGAAGAACTCCGATGATGGATCCAAGTAAGACGTGTTTACATGAACATTCACACATGTTCATCTCTGTTAAATAAAAATTCATAGACCTATTCATGTATACTTATTCACAAAGACAGACTCGGATTTTTTCATATTCTGCAAAATAAGTTAACGGTCAAACATAAACCTAAGATTGCTGAAGATGATGCTAAACAAGCGTAGAACTTTTCCATATTTAAATAAACCTCGGGCTGTTCATAACTGGTCTTCGGTTCGTGGAAAATTTACGTATGAAATAATTTTACTGAGCCGCATTTCTAGGCTCTTAATATTAGTATGAAACGTGTATGTACACTTTTCGGGTTAAAAAATCTACCAGTCAATCAATATACAAGAAATAATCAACAACATAAAAGATTTTACTGATCTTAATCAAAACATGACGATGGATTACCACTGCTGCCATGGTCATCTGATCGTTGATGTATAATTAGGATGGTTACGTATAACCTTAGGTTGCAAAACCAAAACTATTTTCGTGACAGTAAAGACGACTCGCTACGCACCTTACGACTCGCTACGCACCTTACCTGTTGGTTCTTCTGAGGTAATAATTGTTTTGGTGGTGCTAGAAAGTGCATCAGAAGGTATCTCATCATCAGAAACCGCTTGGATTGATCCTGAGTCAACTGCAAAGGCTCTTATACCTTTGCCTCCAGGTGTAACAGCCTTGCTCAGAACTGACAAAACTTTGCTTATCTCTTCATTTTGATTGAATTCCAATGAGAGATAGACAGTTATGCTGCCGCACCTGGGGATAACAGTGGAGCCAAGGCTTAACATGCAGAGAAATCTTTCAATTGGTCTAGTAGCATCAAGGCAACGGCAACAAATTGTTTAATTCGTATGCGAGCTGTAATTATTGACGACCTGATGAGTGCTTCTAATTTCCTTTTGCAAGCTGTATAAAGGCTTTGAATGACCCAAGACAGCTAATAGTATACAGCGTTTTACCCAGGTTCATAAAAACGTTCTAAACAGGAACATCTGAAATCAGATGCTCTTTGCAGGATGGCGGGAATTCAATATGCAAAATGACGAAGCCCGGTTCAACAATGATCCACCCAGTACAAGCTGCTGTAAATGACTCTCTTATAGCCTTCTGGGACGAATAACAAAGTTACAGAAGTATAATATAACAAGCAAACATCATACTTGTACTTTGTAGCTTCTACTGCTTCCAACGACGGGAACACTAATTTAAGAACTTCACCTACCTACTCAGGGATTAAGATAAAAATTCCATCGATTAATAAGCTCTAACAACGCAAGTCACTTAGAGGTACATAGGATACCCGGCCTTTGGTTATGATAATTACATATCAGGCAAACCTGAGTAAAATAATTGTTTTAGTAAAGACGCACTCAAAAAAAATAACTTAAGCATCTAGTTATTATTTTTGTTTGACAACGACCAGAAGACAATAGCAATCTCTGTTCTAAAAATAACAATAACATGCTCTACAACTTCGTGAACATGCATGCCTGCAAGATCTTGTAAATGATTAAAAAAGAGTGAACTATGCGTATTTGTCCATGTTCTTCAATGGAAAAGTGGATGATTTGAAAGTTTACACTCTCTGAAATTACCCAAACGGAAAAGTTTTCACCTGAATGGGCCGAAAAGATTGTGTTACCTCCGGGAAGCGAGTGAAGAAAGCGGCCATTGGCCAATTAGTTCAGCGGATCAGTAAGCTAAGAAATAAATCTAATTCTGTTTTAACTTATGTAAAATAGACATTCTATGGCCGTAGCTAAATAGAGGAGGTACGTTTTCTTAAGCATTTACGGCGTGTGAAGTTAAGCAATGCAAAGAAAAATTGTCGCAGTCAATTTATGGTTTGCGATTTTTTTGTTAGCTCTTGATCTAAACTAGGTGATTTTCTTCACAATCAATTTATTCCACAGTCGACCCGTTGGTATTGCCTGTTGGTCGTAGTAAATTGTGGTTGTTGTTAATCGTGGTTGTTGTAAATCGCCCTCATTTCTTTTACTTACTTTGGACTGTAGTTGCTTAAGGGTTTCTTGAAGATTATCGCTGCAATCTCTGTTAGTGACGGTTAACTTTACGAGGAATTTATCGTCAGATACAACTTTAGGAAGAAAAAAATTCAAAAATTAACATCGGTAACATCTACAGACACCTACGCGCGTATGTGAATTACTTACTTCCAATTATTCGTTTATTTCATAGTCTCTATAACATTATCAAAACGAAACGCAAGACGTATTTCAAAATCGCTACGTTTCATAACATTGGATCAAATCTACTTACTGAGGCGAAACCCTTTGAAAACCATGTTTAATTCATTTTCGACTTTGCAGCGATACCAACCAGGGCTGGACTCTTTTACTTGAAAAATCACTTTACTGGGATTATCTTCAGAATTCCAATTCATGTCGACATCGTCCTTTGTCCCGGTAACTGTTGGTGTTGGGTAACCGTCTTTATAACAAGAAAAGCTGACCTCTTCTCCAGGTTTCTTCCTAAATGTCTGATTTCCTGGGTTTGTGATCACCGCTGGATCTTTGATTTAAAAATCAAACAAAACAGAAAATCAATGTTTTTCATTAAGTGTTACAGGCATACTCGGCATACTCACCAAGTAAAAATCCAATAGCAACGAACAGTGCGACGCATGTTATAGTGCTGAACTGTGGCAGAATTGAGGCAGTTCGGCCAGAAAACTACATGTATGTTACTAAAACTAAGTTTTACTTTACCGGAGTAAGTAAACGTTCTCGCGGCAAATGCCTTTTCGTACCCAACACAAAACTGATCCAAAGTGGAATTCAGCCATTGTAACTTATCTATAGAAACGTTTGAAGTGACCAATTTCACAATAACTTTGCTCTGGTGATATGGGATCTACAGATTTGAAATCTTCAAATATAGAATCCACTCCCTTGCTTTATGGGTTATTTTTTAACCATGTGGTAAATTTTAAATTTTGGAAAAGATACAGTGATGGGACTGAGTTAAGTTCAGATCGGTCGACGAATTAACAGAAAAGAGGAAAAAGGTGTCTCATTTCTCTATTAAGAATAAAAGCACAGACATAATTGGAAGACACATTCACGGCGTTTCAGAGGTATTTGCAGTACGTACGTTAACGCGGAGTTTCCACTTTCTTTCTTTTTCGCGTTCATCTCCCGTGTCAAACTAGAAAAGAGAAGGAAAAAATGAAAACATATAGTGAAGATATACTATGAACGAGTCCGTCGCTTTCAGCGTATTTCGTCGGCTGATCAAACGTTCACTCTTCCAAATTTGCTGCGGCGGTTGATTTGCTTTATCCAAATTCACGAATGTTTCTCCATGACCGACAAAGCAAAACATTTCATGCAATGTGTTAAAAGATAAATGATAGCTAGAATACAAAGGTTTCGAATGGCTACCCAGTTACTTGATTAAAAGCTAAGTGACGAAAAAGAAGTTTAAGGCATTGGCTATTTCAAACTCGCCGGTTACCGTCTCACAGTCAACTTGGGGAGACAGGAGAGGTGATTTATCAGAATTCTTGCTTGGGAAAAGATTCCTAGGCAGTATTCCAGAACCACTTTGGATTATCTGTGACATGTTTTAGGGTAACACGCCTTCTCAAATACATCACATGGATGAGTAAATACGCTTTTCCAAGCAAGCCAATTCTCATTAACATCTTATCAAAAATAATTTTCATAACTCAGCAGTTACGAGCCAATTTTCGTGGCTTTACAAGACAGTACTATTACATGCACTAGAAAACATCTAATCAGATGCGAAACATCTCACCGTTACCAAAAGAATGAACACAAAAAAGGCAGGGTCAATTTTCTCTACCAAGGAAAATTAGCCTGCAGGGCAGGCGTAAATTGGCAACCGAGTGCTCAATATTTTCTTAGCCAAAATTATGACCGCCATCTTTGATTTGAATGGCAGCCGAAGACTGGGAACAGAAAGAAATTTGTACCAAAGGCAGTGAAATTTTGCCCGTCCTCTTCCCTCAACGCCGCCTCTATCTCCAAATCATACATGACCGGTTTATTAAACGATCGTAAGCTTCTTAATGTTCACACGCCCTATTAAGACGCCTGCATTGCAGGCTAAGGAACATTATTTCCTGAACGAAAGCATCAGCAGAGGATTCTAGCACTGTATCACTGTAATCGTAATTACATAATTACGTAGTTAATCGCTCTGCTTCGCGGTATAAGGAAACATAGAAACTCCCAAAAAGATACAGAGTTTAATCTATCAAATACTTACAGTGCACTGTCACTGCTAGTGCTCCTTGCCTTCCATTACCATAAATATTGAACGGAATGCAGCTGTAGTTCACCATTCTTGCTCTTTCATTAACTGAAGTTATAATCACTGCATCGTTGTTTACACCATTGATATACTCATTACCATTGTAGAATCGATACTTTGCAGGTGGGTTGGCCTGTGCACTGCAGGTGATACTGAACGTTTCATTCACGACAACGACGTTGTTAGTCAGATTAGTTGTCACAATGGTGTTTACTGGGTGGTAGTCTACGATGAATTTAAAAGAAAAACACTCCTCTGGTTCAGCTAAGGTAAGTTTTATACCCTTGAAGACTATTGTCTACTTAAAAAATAAACAGCTTACTTTTTTCCTTGAATCTGGCATATCGGTGTATTATAATACATCTTACCTTAATTTGTAAATTCTGACAAAGAGCAAACTTTTGTGATAAGTAGCTGAAGTTTTTTTTTCAGATATTTCAGAAACATTTACAGAAGTTAAATTAACAAATAAGCCTTTCATTGTTTTTATAGCCTTTATAAATGGTCGATCAGAATATTTCGATAAAGTGCTAGTTTGGCGCTGGTGTTAAAAAAATATAGTTGGTGAGGGTATCGTCCCATCACTAAAAAATGTATTAATTATATTATTCAGATGTATTTTTTTTCTTTTTTTTTTTTTTTTCTGGAAGATGGATATTACGCTAAATAATTGAATAATTGGGTAAGGTTGCCAGCTGAGAGATTTTGTAACCCTGTGTAACTTCAGGAGTACAGGGAAACAGTTCAAAATTAACTTACTCTGCACAAAAACATAGACGATCCTGCTATCAGGGCTTCTAACACCATTACTGGCAGTGCACTCGTAGCCTCCTTCATCTTGTTTACCACTGATGATGAGAGGGAAGGACACAGCTTTGTTGTCAGAAACTCTTGTCCAGGTGATATTTGGCGTTGGATTACCATCAGCCACACATGTTGGATTTAATGTGTCACTTTCATTCAGGGTCTGATTACCAGAGGTGTAGTTCATCTTTGCTGCATCTGTCATGTAATCATTCTAACAAAATTAGTTCGTTGAAACTTTTACAATTTGATAACAAAGTTTTTACCGAACTAAATAAACAACTTAACCTAACCAGCCAACAGAAGCCATGTTGTGCTCATGCTTGTTGTCATTTAAATGTGTTGTTAAAAAAAATTTCCCAACATGGTTGCCATCGACCCCAACTTTCAAATTTTCGTTTCTTGTTCGTCATCCAAGCAAAAGGCACCGACATACGAGAACACAAGTTCTTTTCTGTGAACGAGTCCGTCGCTTTCAGCATATTTCGTGGGTTGGCTAAACGCTCACTTTTCCAAATTTGATGCGGCGTTTGATTTGCTTTATCCAAATTCACTAATGCCTCTCCATGATCGACAAAGCAGAACATCATATGCAATGCGTTAAAAGAAAAAAGATAGCTAAAATACAAGGGTTTCGAATGACCACTCAGTTACTTCATTAAAAGCTAAGTGACGAAAAAGCAGTTAAGGCGTTGGTTATTTAAACTCGCCAGTTATCGTCTCACAGTTAACCTTGGGAGACTGGATAGGTGATTTATCATAATTCTTGCTTTGGAAAAGTTTTTAAGGCAGTATTCCAGAGCCATTTTGGATTATCTATGTTTTCTATGTTTTGGGGTAACTCGCCTTCTCAAATACATCGAACGGATGATTAAATATGCCTCTCCAAGAAAGCCAAGTCTAAATAACTCTATTGTGTAATGAATGAATAGAAAAAGAGCGAGCGAAGGGGGAAGTGGTGCTGGTAATCCTTGCAGCTTTAGATTCTTTGGTAAGTTGCGAAAGACTCCTGATTATGTTCCTGAAGTCCTTTACGGTCACTGCTAGGAATTTCTTGAATAAGTCTCAATTAAAATCACCCCAAAACTAAATCATTTCCTTTTCTAACAGACGCATTCTCTATGATTTCTAAGATAACATTGTCCACCGTGACTACCGTGATTAAAATACTCCGTGCGATTAAAATACTCCGAGGAATTAAAAGAACTCCATAAGTGATATGCCGCAAACTTGAATTGTAATCTGCACAATTTTAGTCTTTATAGCTTCATGGAAGTCTTTTGTGCTTACTTGTTTATATAGCTTATTTATTTATTTATTTTTGTGTATCACTCCTATACTTGTCGCATATTTAGGAATCAGATTATTAAAACCTTAAGGGCCAGTAATTTACACAAGGTCTAACTCAAGCCGCCGTTTTACGCAGGTGGGCATCATGGATTCTCTATAAAAGGATTAATTTTATTAATTAAGAGCGAATTTTTTTTATCACCGCGTGGGAGGTGGCACATGATCGGAAAAATCACTATCCTCATATTTCGCTCAGAGATACCTTTGGGTAAGTCTATAAACGTGGTATAATTTTTTTGTTCAGAGCTGTTTTTATTTTCTAGAAAATCACCAAACACTGTATCGAGCCTCAACCGCCATAAAATGGCCGAAATGAAGTCGACGTGTATGGCAAAATGAATTTTACCTATTTGTATACGAGGTATTAAAAAATGATTTGAATCTAATAACGGGCTTGTTGACATAACTATGAATTATTGGCGAATATTTGAAAATAGCCAAAATTTGATTGATTAAAAATTACATTTTGGAGCAGTTTTTCAATAAAAATTTTTCCTACCTGGTATAACTCGGAATCACTTGAGATGAGCATTTTTACAAAGTGGAAAGAATGTTCTTTCCACGGATATAAAAATTAATTTGGGGCTCTTAATTACTGCGAAGAAGTAGCCCGGTCTATTTCGTGCAAATCGCAATGCCGCCATGTAAACAACCGCAGATAATCCAATTAGGCTTTTTATTATCGAAGCCATAATTCCAACAAAATCTTATCGCTTTGACCTATACTGGATTGTAAACTGGATTTCTTAAGCTCACCTGGCGAAAAACACCTTTCTAACATTGGTTCCTTGCCTCAATCTTGTTATAAAGAGACTTGACAACAGCTTCGATAGTACAGGCGGTGTATACCAAATCACAGTGAAAACATCTCACGAAGGTTCCTGCCGGAAACGTCGCATTGCTGGACAGTTATAACCATATTTCAGCTTGGAACACTCACATTTTACAAGTCTTCCTTTCACAATAAGAATGGAAGTTTGTTTTTTATAGAACGAGCCAGAGCATCCTGACAGATGAAATGAATCATTGACGTTCGTTTTTTGCGATGGTGTCACGCAATAACATGACACTCGAAAGGAGGCTCGGTTACCAATACGCTCTTATTTTCTTTCCTTCTTATCCCCTATTTTTTATTTCCGGGAAAAAGTTTTAAATCCAGAATTTAAAATTACCGTTGTTTGCATTTTTTAAGCGCGATACCACTCATGCGTCACCCTAGACTGCTAAATGAATTAGGTATATGTTACTACAGCATGGAGGAAATTTCACTGCATTAATTTTTATCGACGTAAAAAAATGTGTTATCCTATTTTGTAAATTGTGACGGCTTGCAGGGTAGACAGGTGCGGGAGTGGAAAAATTAAATTGGGAGTAGCTTTCTAAAATACTCAGCGCTAAAAAAATAAATTAGATTAGGCACAGTTTCTAACCATATAATGAGCGTCGCGCCATAAATTTTCCAAAGCAAACTAAAATGGTGTTTTCGTTTGGCCGCCGATTTTTTTAAGAGGATAAGATAAGCGAAGTCGAGTTGCAGGAAAAGCTTCTCTTATAGTCCCTCTGCGCTTATTTGAGAAAGACATCTCAGCACACAAACAGGCTGTGGGCGTGAATGATGTTGAATCGGAAGTCGATCTCATTTTAGCACGGGCATCGATATTCACGTTGCCTTCCAATATTTCGGACATGACTATCTGCCCAGCCCATCGCTCCTCTTTGGGCATTGGATGGCGAAGAGGCTCGCAACGGTGCCGTGTTCCATCCGAATTATCGAGGCATGCCAAGGAAGGGAAATCAGGAAAGGGTGACCGTGGTATAAACAAAGCGCTTTCGAAGGCAATCCTTCGACGCACGGGAATATTCCTCCCTGTTGAGTCTGGTAAGTCTTTGTAATGTTGTTAATTTACAATAGGACGCTATGACAAACAGGACAAGAAGTTACTAGTAAAAACAAAATTGGCACATTTACATTAGTACTACCACTGAAGCACACATTTAACCAGCCATTTAATTTTGTAGCGTGAGCTAGTTTAATCAAATTATTTTTTATCAGTGTGTTTTCTTTTTTTTGTTAACTTCTTGTCGCCAAAAACTAATACACGTCTTTCGTTATCTCACCATACGGCCTGGGACCGAGATATTTATTTTGGTCAGGGGCTCAGGGCCACTCACTACACCGCAAAACCGCTCTTAGGGAAGAGTGATAGATTTAGGGGACGTTGTTGCGTAGTTGCGTTGTTGGTGCGAGGGGACGGGCAGGTGATTTGAAAAGCGAAAGGGAGGGTAGGATTAAAAAACTGTTTTTGTCTCTGTCAATAGACCATTTTACAGTTCTGTGATATTTAACCAGGCCTCTGTATGAAAGCGAGGTTTGTGTTGACCTTGACACGATAGAGATCAAAAACTGGTTAGCATAACAATTAAAGGATTTGCATATCAAAAGTAACAGGGTTTGTATCAAAACAAGGTCAACTTGAGCCTCACGTAGGTGATGTATATAATCACGGAGCACTAGACAATTAACTTCCAGTTGTTTTAGTTAACTGGGAAGTTCGTCATTTGAGAGGTTACGCATGACGTTTGTTTTTCCCGCGAACGTCAAAAATTCAATTTCTGTCGTCTGTCTTTAGGCGTGTGTACACGGAATTAAGTAGGTTTGTGTTTGTCGTGAATGTGTTATTTTATTTTTTGTGCAGGATTTTTTTAAGAATTCCATAAATAGGTAACAAAATGAAAGGCAAGCTTGCGTTTGCCGTTTGCCGTTAAACGTCATGCTTAAAGTGCCTATTGATAAATATAATCTTTGCAAGCGCGAAGTCGTGGAAATAGAGTCGATAACAACGCATGTATAGTCAGTACCAGGGGGTGACTAAATTTACGAAAACGTCAAAAAGTAGTTTTTCAGAATGGCACTGATTCAAAACACTCAAAAGAGATCTACAGCGTTTTTTAAGTGAATTCGCGCAGGTTTTTGTTTAAAACATAACACTGACTAAGAAATAAATATTAGTTGGCCCTGCACTCGGTACAGCGATGTCTGCAGACGAATGCCTGTCTGGGTGTCCTGTGCACGTTTAGCGTGATTGCGTGACAAACATGAGTGATGACACACGACTTCGTTGGTGAACATCGTTGTGCCATTTGGGGAGCCAAACGTTTCTTAACTGAAACTGTAAGCAATCAAAGCATCTTGGTTTATCGTGCAAAAAAGACTTTTGTATATACTGGAGTTGTATGGAAGCAGAAATAAGTCAAGAGTTTGGTCTGCGATGATTTATGAACAGCTTCGAGTATTGTAAATGGTCAAGCCGGACGTTGTAAACACTTTTCAAGTGAACATGGCGATTTGAAACAAAAATAATGGAAACATCACTCCTTAATCACTGGTTTCAGAAGGTAAGGGTAACATATTGAGTTTCTGATAAAGCACAGCTCAAAGCGGTAAGATTTGCAGAAATTATGGCTTCGATGCTAAAAGAATAATTGGATTATCTGCGATTATTTACACGGCGGCGTTGCGATTTGCACGAAATAGATCGGGCTATTTCTTCACAGTAATTGAGAGCCCCAAATTAATTTTTATATCCTTGAAAAGAACATCGTTTCCAATTTTCGGAAATGCTCATCTCAATTGATTCCGAGTTATACCGAGTAGGAAAAATTTTTATTGAAAAACTGCTCCAAAATGAAATTTTTAATCAATCAAATTTTGGCGATTTTCAAATATTCGCCAATAATTCATAGTTATGTCAATAATCCCGTTATTAGATTGAAATCATTTTTTAATACCTCGCATACAAATGGATAATATTCGGAAAAACTCGCTTTCTTTTGCGCTTTTGAAGAATAACGTTT